AAGTCATACAAAAATTCGGCCTGACCTTCCCTAAAAATAGGACATATATGGATCTAGAGTTTGCCTGGAAGTCGCCGAAACAGAAATAAATCGACATTTCGGCAAAACATAGGCAACTCAAAAGCACAATTTGTCGTCAACTCATGCCACACACACAATTTCCACAAACATATCACACACACATAAACATATTTCCATTTTGCAAAAGCATGAATTTTTCATCACCTATCTCAAGATCGAGCACACGGTGGAGATGATGTTGTAGGGATATCAAAAGTGCACAAAGCTCTTCTTGACAAACATAGATCTATTTAGGGGGCAAATAGGTCACTTAACTAAATCCTACATCTACCTAGCTACCTAATTTGGGAGGAGACAACTTCAACTAGTGGAGGGGAAGGAAAAAAGAGAAAGGAGATGCATTAATGGAGGTGATGTAGTTAGGTAGGAGTAATGAAGAGAGAGAAATGTAGATAGAAGAGAGAGAGAGTAATGGGGGAGAAGTATTGAGGAAGAAGAAGAGTGAGAGTGGGAGCATGTGGGAGGTAGGGGAAAGGGAAGAGAGGAGGGGGGAGGGGGGACGGTGGGGAAAAGGTGGTGGGTTGGTCCGGATTAGCAGTAGCGCGGGACGGAAAACGCGCTGCTGATAAGGAAGTAGCAGCAGCGCGCTTTCGTCAGAAGCGCTACTGCTAACCGGGACAAAAAGTGTGTCCAATTTGAAAATTAGCAGCAGCGACCTCAGAAAAACCGCGCTACTACTACAACTTTAGCAGTAGCGCGGCTAGCGATACCGCGCTGCTACTAAATGGAGGTGAGGGGGCACTGTCGGTCGATATTTGTAGCAGCGCGTGTTACACAGAGCGCGCTACTGCTAAACACTTGTCAGTAGCGTGTTTTCCACACCCGCGCTACTGCTACTTAGCAGCAGCACTCCTTTTTGAGCTGCGCTGCTGCTAAGATTCTATGTATAGGGTTTTCCCTAGTAGTGTACGCCGGTTCAGGAAGGTATGGATATTAATATGCTATATTACTTACCTGCCGAGTTTCGTGCTATAGGTGAAGAAGGGGAGGTAGCCCGGATGGATTTTGGTCCTAAGAATGCTATCTTTGAGAAGCCAAAAGAACTGGTGAAACACTTGAAGCCGTTGTACCTCAAAGGTCATATTAACGGATCGTCGGTTGCTAGGATGCTCGTTGATGGTGGTGCCGTGGTAAATCTTATGCCTTACTCGGTCTTCAAGAAGTTGGGTTTAGATGATGATGCATTGATGAAGACCAATATGGTGCTTAATGGATTTGAGTGTCAAGAAAAGACAGAGGCCAAATGTGTGATGTGCATGGGACTAACCGTGGGAAGTAAAACTTTGGCCACCACATTCTTCATTGCCGAGGTGCAAGGTAACTATAATGTTATATTAGGCCGTGATTGGGTTCATGCTAACCAATGTGTGCCATCTACCATGCATCAACTCTTAATACAATGGGTCGGTGATGAGGTAGAAGTCATTCACGCGGATAATTCGGCTTGTGTTGCTTTGGCCGATGCATCGGTGGATTGGAATCATCCCGATGTTACTTTCTTAATAGGGCGTGACCTCTCAGAGTCTGATTTCCTTAGTGCAACAAGGAATGGGTTCATTTCCATCTCTTTAAAGCCGATTGGTGGTAATCGGTTACAAGGTATGATGCGAACAAGAAGTTAAAATCAGTGGCCGATATAAAATTATCGCCCTAAGCATAAACATAGCCGATACATAATTATCGTCCTGAGAAAAATAAATGTCCGATGGAGTGTTGACATCGTCCTTAAAAAAAGCATCGTGCAAGTTATTTTTCGGCACACAATTTTGCCAAATAATAGGGGGGCATGTGTTGGCACCAGATTTTGGCACGGTCAATAACTTAATTTACATAGCCTCAAATGGAGAAGTGATCTACATAAAAGAGTTTTGTATTGTCCATAAGAACATCTTTGAAGTTTGGGCCATCACCATCCGATCTCATCTCGAAGGCCGAAGTTGTGTTCGAACATTATTCGGCTGATTACGCCCCCAAGAGAGCCTCATATGGAAAAATCATTCTATAGGAATTGTCTTCGTCTCGTCGAAGCGATCGATTTTGATATAAAAATCGTCTAGATCTGAGTTCCTATGCAAAAGTTAGAGCAATCGGAGTGCAGCCCTGTCACGAGGCGAGACGTGGCGTGCCCCACCAGACGCATGTCTGATGGGTAGCGTGAGGGAATAGACTATTTTGCACAATCGATTTGACCCTCACGATGACCTCTGATAAAAAGGGTTCAATATGAAAGTTGTTCATCACGTCAAAACGGTCAAGATTGCTTTTGGGCTCGTTTCCATCCGAGGTCGTTTACCACCTTAAAAATTAACCGCAAGGTACAACCAGTTTAAACCGAACTGTTTTGGGAAGTTCGGACAAAACCAATCCGAATTTGACCAGGATTTTGGGCATGATTCCAAGCCTTTTCCTTGCACGGGAAGTCCAGCCGCCTCTTATATACCTAAGGGGTGACGGCCGATTGAATAACAACACACAATCGCAAAACTCATCTACTTTTTACCCTAGTTTTACATCCCTTCCTTGTTCTTTCTCTCTCATTCTTTGTTCGTTCTTCTTTTGCAGGGCGGCGATCCTCGAGGCTCTAGGGACGGGCGAACCAACATAGGGATGCCCATTGCCACTGCGCGTCGAGACGGGGTCCCTCTCGGGCGCGTGGGGTTTCTGGTTTCAAAATCACCCGCCGGATTGCTTGTGTACCGCGCTTCCGGACGGGTCTCCTTCGACGTGAGCTGCGGTGTATCAGCCTCTGTGTCGGAGGTACAGGTGACGTGTTCGTGTGCGAACACACTTTTTGGCGACTCCGCTGGGGATGAATGATCAAGAATCATCATCAACCATGTCTAATCTCCCCATGCCTTCAGAAGTTAGCGTCGATAACATCATTAAGCCCGGTCCTGATGAACTATCAGATGAACATCGCCAAGCCTATGAAGCGCTCAATAAACAGCGTGAGGAGGATTCTGAGGCGCTCAAGAAGAAGCCGCAGGAGCAGGATTTGGAGGCGTTTCTTGCAAATTTCAAGGACCGTCAAGGTAACATTACTCTAGTTGGAAACGTCAATTTCCCTCCCCTGATTGATGAACAAGATGAAATCACTGTGAGTAAAGTTTCTTCTCCAGAGCAAGTGGCTGTGATTGAAAGTCTTGTTAGTAAGGGTAATGTGATGACGTACAATTCTTTTGTGGCAAATACCAATGCTAAGAAAAATATGCCTCTGTCATCTAGTGGTACTGTTGGTATATCTGAAAACCCTAGCCCAACTTTACCTATTTCATCGGCACCTCCTATGCAACAATAATATAGTATGCCGTTGAATTTTTACCCTAGTCAAACTAACCAGCTTCTGGCCGCACCTTCATATCCTAATCCTATTATGAGTGTGCCCAATTCGGCGTCAACGCCGAATCACTTTGTCACACCACCCATAGGCGCAAACATGTTTGGTCTTCCGCCGAATTATGGTTCGGCGTCCATCCGAGAAGTTGCACCACTAGCTAGTACTCAGGTTGCTCCTATGTCATTGCCACAAACATCTTCATTTACCTCAGATCCAATTTTAGCTAAATTAAGGGAGGATTTGCATAAGATGTTTCTAGAAACTTTCGGAAACGAGCCGAAAGTAAAGAGTCGCGTGTATCAAAAGCCTTATCGTGAACACTTTGATGCAGTTTTGTACCCTCAAGGTTATAAGGTTCCTGATTTTGTCAAATTTAGTGGAGAGGGCACGAAAACAACATGGGAACTTGTTAGTCAGTATCTAGCGCAGTTGGGTGAAGCTGGTTCCGTAGAAGAATTGCAAGTGCGTTTATTTCCATTATCTTTAACTGGTACTGCATTTTCATTGTTTGCTGCTTTACCACATGGTTCAATTCTCTTATGGTCGCAATTAGAGCAAAAGTTTAATGATTACTTTTTTGCGGGGAAATGATCACTTTTACAATGGTGATAATGATCTTAAGTTGTCACATCTTACATCGCTTAGGCAAAAACAAGATGAATGGTCACCGATTATGTCAGGAGATTTAAAGATATAAAAAACCGATGTTATAGCTTGGTGATTGCTGAAAGAGACTTGGCGGATCTTGTTCTTAATGGTTTAAAAACTCCCATTAAAAAGAGGCTAGAAAGTTATGAGTTTTTTTTTTTGATGGGAGTTATGAGTTTTTGAATATTAATCAAGTGTTGCAAAAAACGGCATTGAACAAAAAAAAGACTGGTGAACGAGAGCCGACAGGTCATTTTAATTAGCGGTTGTCCGGCCGGTTTTTGGGGGCCTAGGAGTGGAAAGCTTTGCCTTGCGAATTATGTAGGCGACCGATCCGCACGACGCATGTGGTCTCTGATGCACGCGGGGCATAAGCGACCCCGGCCGTATAGCATCAGCTGAAAATCTTATTAAAACGACCGGCCGATGCAGGCCATTGGCCTCCTCTGGGCAGAGTGGCGCCAAAGATGGTGTACTCCTAGCGAGCTAGCTAGCTAGCCTGTCTTTACTCGCGTCCGTCCTGGCCGCTTCACCAAAGCTTTCTCAAGAGAAACATATAACACGTTTGGGTGAACAGTACCAAGCGGTCCTTTTGGTCATGGAAGTACGTATCGGAATCACTTGAATAAGCCAAACAATGAAAACAAGAACAAGAAAGAAAAACATATAGTAGGTTACTTTTGGGTGAACAGTACCAAGCTGTCCTTTTGGTCATGGAATTCCATCAGAGAACTCAACTGAAAGAAGAACATATATATGAATCAAACACACACGAGGTTGAGACAAGCAAATCATTAACTTGATACCACAAACATAGCAGTTTCACATGCACGTAGTCACCAAAGACGACTTTTAACATACGGTACCGAAACAGAAAGAGCTAGGGGATGCTTGCCGGTCAACTAGTGATTACGGTGACCAATTTCCAGACCGATCATAGACGGAGAGACAAGTCGACGTCGTCCACGGTGCCGTGCTCCGACCGGCTCCTGCCGTGCTTGTGCGCCTTGCCAGCAGCAGCAGCCGTCCCAGCTGCAGACACGAGAACGGTGCCGTACCTGGGCCAGGGCAGACTCTCGTCCTGCGTCGCAGCCGGTAAACCCTCCCCAGTGGCGGCGGTCTGCCGACGGCAGCGTCTGGCGACGCTGCGCTCGTGCTTATGCGCGTTCTGGTGGCCGCCGAGCGCCTGCGAGGTGATGAACTTGCGGTTGCAGTACACGCAGAGGAAGAAGCCGACGCGGGCCTCCGGCGCCATTGGGCGGAGGGTGAGCTCCAGGCTCAGCTCCTCCTGCTCACTGCTCAGCTCTTCCATTCTAGTCATGGACTTACCGTCGTCTATATGTGAGTGCACCACAGCTTAACTCACCACGCAAATTGTTGTGCTAACCAAAGGATTTTTAAATAGTGTACAGCTTAACGGGTTTTGCACTGTTCATTTAGGATCTCGTTACTGTAGCCGGCGGACGGACACCCCGCACCCAGCTTAACGGGATTCGCTGATGACGGTCGCAACGGAAGAGTAGCTGGGAGAATTTATCACACACAAAGGGTTGACGTTTTTTTTTTCCGTCATCTCCACTGAGGAGCCGTCTGTGAGTTTGTTCTGCCAAAAATTGATTGGGGAATCAAAACAAGCACTAGTGTAGAATCGGGTTATTGTCCCAGTTCGTAAGGACATTTAGTGCCCGTTCTGCAACCGGGGTCTCATAGCTTTTGTTTTAATAAAGTGCCAACTAGAATCTTTGGGAAGACTTGGGTGAAAGTTAATTTGATCTTGCTGTAAAAGACAGAAACTTTGTGCTCACGAGATTAGCTGTCATTTTTTACAGAAGTGTGATTTTGAGTTGATTATTTTTGCAGAAGATTAATAGACAAATTCCCAACATCCACCAATTTATTTCAGAATTTTTGGAATTATATAAGTATTCGAGAGTTATAGATTACTACAAACTATTTTGTTTCTGACAGATTCTGTTTTCTATGTGTTGTTTGCTTATTTTGATGAATCTATGAGTAGTATCGAAGGGTGTGAACCTTAAATAAGTTGAAATACAGTAGATATTACACCAATATGAATTTATAATGAGTTCACAACAGTACGTAAGTTGTGATGTATTTTCTTATACTAATGGAGCTTACGAGTTTTCTGTTGTGAAGTTTTTAAGTTTTGGGTAAAGATTCGATGGACTATGGAATAAGGAGCGGCAAGAGCCTAAGCTTGCGATGCCCAAGGCACCCCAAGGTAATATTAAAGGACAACCAAGAGCCTAATCTTGGGGATGCCCCGGAAGGAATCCCCTCTTTCGTCTTCGTTCATCGGTAACTTTATTTGGAGCTATATTTTTATTCATCACATGATATGTGTTTTGCTTGGAGCGTCATGCCATTTTATTTTATTTTGCTTGTTGTTTGAATAATATCCCAAGATCTTAATTTCTTAAATGTTAGAGATTCTTCACATAGTTGCATAATTATTCAACTACTCATTAATCTTCACTTATATCTTTTGGAGTAGTTTGTCATTTGCTCTAGTGCTTCACTTATATCTTTTTAGAGCACGATGGTGGTTTTATTTTTAAGAAATTGATGAACTCTCATGCTTCACTTATAGTATTTTGAAAGTCTTAAACAACATGGTAATTTGCTTTGGTTATGAATTAAGTCCTAATATGAGGGCATCCAAGAGGGATATAATAAAAATTTCATATAAAGTGCATTGAATATTAAGAGAAGTTTGATTCCTTATGATTGTTTTGAGATATGAGGATGGTGATGTTAGAGTCATGCTAGTAGAGTAGTTTTGAATTTGATAGATACTTGTGTTAAAGTTTGTGATTCCCGTAGCATGCACGTATGGTGTTATGTGATGAAGTTGAAGCATGATTTATTTATTGATTGTCTTTCTTATGAGTAGCGGCCGGGGACGAGCGATGGACTTTTCTTACCAATCTATCCCCCTAGGAGCATGCGCGTAGTACTTCGTTTCAATAACTAATAGATTTTTGCAATAAGTGTGTGAGTTCATTATGACTAATGTTGAGTCCATGTATTATACGCACTCTCACTCTTCCATCATTGCTAGCCTCTCTTTTGCCACGCAACTTTCGCCGGTACCATATACTCACCATATACCTTCCTCAAAACAACCACCATACCTAGCTATTATGTCATTTCCATAGCCATTCCGAGATATATTGCCATCCCACTTTCCACTGTTCCGCTTATTATGACACACTTCATCATTGTCATATTGCTTTGCATGATCATGTAGTTGACATCATATTTGTGGCAAAGCCACCGTTCATAATTTTTCATACATGTCACTCTTGATTCATTGCACATCTCAGTACACCGCCGGAGGCATTCACATAGAGTCATATTTTGTTCTAAGCATTGAGTTGTAATTTCTTGAGTTGTAAGTAAATAAAAGTGTGATGATCTTCATTATTAGAGCATTGTCCCATATGAGGAAAGGATGATGGAGACTATGATTCCCCCACAAGTTGGGATGCGACTCTGGACTAAATAAGAAAAAAAGGCCATAAAAAAGAGAGAAAAGACCCAAATAAAAAAATTACAGAAAAAGAGAGAAGGGACAATGCTACTATCCTTTTACCACACTTGTGCTTCAAAGTAGCACCATGATCTTCATGATAGAGAGTCTCCTATGTTGTCACTTTCATATACTAGTGGGAATTTTTCATTATAGAACTTGGCATGTATATTCCATTGATGGGCTTCCTCAAAATGTCCTAGGTCTTCGTGAGCAAGAAAGTTGAATGCACACCCACTTAGTTTTCTTTTAAGCTTTCATACACTTATAGCTGTAGTGCATCCGTTGCATGGCAATCCCTACTCACTCATATTGATATCTATTGATGGGCATCTCCATAGCCCTTTGATACGCCTAGTTGATGTGAGACTATCTTCTTCCTTTTTGTCTTCTCCACAACCACCATTCTATTCCACCTATAGTGCTATGTCCATGGCTCACGCTCATATATTGCGTGAAGATTAAAAAGTTTGAGAATATCAAAAGTATGAAACAATTGCTTGGCTTGTCATCGGGGTTGTGCATGATTAAATATTTTGTGTGATGAAGATAGAGCATAGTCAGACTATATGATTTTGTAGGGATAACTTTCTTTGGCCATGTTATTTTGAGAAGACATGATTTCTTTGTTAGTATTGAAGTATTATTATTTATATGACAATATTAAACTTTTGTTTTGAATCTTACGGATCTGAATATTCTTGCCACAATAGAGAAGATTACATTGATAAATATGTTAGGTAGCATTCCGCATCGAAAATTCTGTTTTTACCATTTACCTACTCGAGGACAAGCAAAAATTAAGCTTGGGGATGCTGATACGTCTCCAACGTATCTATAATTTTTGATGTATTCATCCCATGTTTATAATATTTCTACATGCTTTTGGTATGATTTGGTTAGGACTAACCCGGACTGACGCTGTTTTTAGCAGAACTACCGTGATGTTGTTTCCGTGCAGAAATAAAAGTTCTCAGAATGCGCTGAAAATCAACGGAGATTTTTTTTGGAAAATATAAAAAATATTGGAACAAAAAGTTATCGGAGAGGAGTCCCGTGGGGCCCATGAGGGTGGAGGGCATGCCCCTGTGCCTCGTGGACACCCCGTGGGTCCTCCTGACTTGTTCTCGACGCCAAACCCTCCTATAAATATAGAAACTCCCGAAACATAACCTAGACCGGGAGTTCCGCCGCCGCAAGGCTCTGTAGCCACCAAAAACCTCTCGGGATCCCGTTTCGGCACCCTACCGGAGTGGGAATCCATCACCGGTGGGGCATCTTCATCATCCTAGCGCTCTCCATGACGAGGAGGGAGTAGTTCGCCCTCGGGGCTGAGGGTATGTACCAGTAGCTATCTGTTTGATCTCTCTCTCTCTCTCTCTCTCTCTCTCTCTCTCTCTCGTGTTCTTGATATGGCACGATCTTGATGTACCGCGAGCTTTGCTACTATAGTTGGATCTTATGATGTTTCTCTCCCTCTACTCTGAGTTTTCCCTTTAAAGTTATCTTATCGGATTGAGTCTTTAAGGATTTGAGAACACTTGATGTATGTCTTGCATGTGCTTATCTGTGGTGACAATGGGATATCACGTGAAGTACTTGATGTATGTTTTGGTGATCAACTTGCGGGTTCAGTGACCTTGTGAACTTATGCATAGGGGTTGGCACACGTTTTCATCTTGACTCTCCGGTACAAACTTTAGGGCACTCTTTGAAGTACTTTGTGTTGGCTTGAATAGATGAATCTGAGATTGTGTGATGCATATCGTATAATCATACCCGCGGATACTTGTGGTGACATTGGAGTATCTAGGTGACATTAGGTTTTTGGTTGATGTGTGTCTTAAGGTGTTATTTTACTACGAACTCTAGGGCTGTTTCTGACACTTATAGGAATAGCCCAATGGATTGATCAGAAAGAATAACTTTGAGGTGGTTTGGTACCCTACAATATTCTCTTCGTTTGTTCTCCGCTATTAGTGACTTTGGAGTGACTCTTTGTTGCATGTTGAGGGATAGTTATATGATCTAATTATGTTGTCCTTGTTGAGATAACTTGCACTAGTGAAAGTATGAACCCTAGGCTTTGTTTAGAAGCATTGCAATACCGTTTTCGATCACTTCTGTTACTTGCTACCTTGCGGTTTTTATATTTTCAGATTACAAAAACCTATATCTACCATCCATATTGCACTTGTATCATCATCTCTCTCGCCGAACTAGTGCACCTATACAATTTACCATTGTATTGGGTGTGTTGGGGACACAAGAGACTCTTTGTTATTTGGTTGCAGGGTTTTTTGAGAGAGACCATCTTCAACCTATGCCTCCCACGGATTGATAAACCTTAGGTCATCCACTTGAGGGATATTTGCTACTGTCCTACAAACCTCTACACTAGGAGGCCCAACAATGTCTACAACAATAAGGACCCTTTCCAAAGATTAGATTTAGATCCTTGACCATATGAAGTACATCATCACCAGTACAGTGGCGAGGCTTCTTCCGGTGATCTGCCTCACCTTTGAAATGCTTGCCTTCCTTTCTTACGGGATGCCTTCTTGGAAGAAATCGACGATGTCCCAGGAGTCCATGCTCCAAACATACACTGTCGGCATCTTCTTAAAAATCCAAATATACACTGTCGGCATCCTCCAAACAATGCGTGCATGCGCGGTATCCCTTGTGTGTCTGTCCTGAAAGGTTACTGAGAGTAGGCAATCATTGTTGGTCACAAACATCAACGCATGTAGGTTAAATTCCTCCTG